ATGTCAAAGTATCTTTTCCTTAGACCATGAGATCGTGTAACTCCCGGATGCCGTAGGAGTGCTTTGGGTATGCCAAATGTCACAACGTAACTGGGTGACTATAAAGGTAAACTACGGGCATCTCCGAAAGTGTCTATTGGGTGACATGGATCAAGACTGGGATTTGTCACTTCGTATGACGGAGAGGTATCACTGGGCCCACTCGGTAATGCATCATCATAATGAGCTCAGAGTGACCAAGTGTCTGGTCACAGGATCATGCATTACGGTACGAGTAAAGTGACTTGCCGGTAACGAGATTGAACAAGGTATTGGGATACCGACGATCGAATCTCGGGCAAGTAACATATCGATAGACAAAGGGAATAGCGTACGGGGTTGATAGAATCCTCGACATCGTGGTTCATCCGATGAGATCATCGTGGAGCATGTGGGAGCCAACATGGGTATCCAGATCCCGCTATTGGTTATTGACCGGAGAGTCATCTCGGTCATGTCTGCTTGTCTCCCGAACCCGTAGGGTCTACACACTTAAGGTTCAGTTACGCTAGGGTTGCAGGGATATGTATATGCAGTAACCCGAATGTTGTTCGGAGTCCCGGATGAGATCTCGGACGTCACGAGGAGTTCCGGAATGGTCCGGAGGTAAAGATTTATATATGGGAAGTCCTGTTTCGGGCATCGGGACAAGTTTCGGGGTTATCGGTATTGTACCGGGACCACCGGAAGGGTCCCGGGGGTCCACCGGGTGGGTCCACCTGTCCCGGGGGGGCCACATGGGCTGTAGGGGGTGCGCCTTGGCCTAATGGGCCAAGGGAACCAGCCCCACATAGGACCATGCGCCTAGGGTTTGAAGGGGGAAGAGTCCTAGGAGGGGAAGGCACCTCCTAGGTGCCTTGGGGGGGAGGGAAACCCCCCTTGGCCGCCGCACCCCTAGGAGATTGGATCTCCTAGGGCCGGCCAACCCCCTTTGGCCCTCCTATATATAGTGGGGGAGAGGAGGGACTTCATACCTGAACGCCTTGGCCTTTGGTTGCCTCCTTCTCCCTCTCCAACACCTCCTCCACCTCCATAGTGCTTAGCGAAGCTCTGCCGGAGTACTGCAGCTCCATCAACACCACGCCGTCGTGCTGCTGCTGGTGCCATCTCCCTCAACCTCTCCTCCCTCCCTTGCTAGATCAAGAAGGAGGAGACGTGGCTGTTCCGTACGTGTGTTGAACGTGGAGGTGCCGTCCGTTCGGCGCTGGTCATCGGTGATTTGGATCACGTCGAGTACGACTACATCATCACCGTTCTTTTGAACGCTTCCGCTCGCGATCTACAAAGGTATGTAGATGCATCTAATCACTCGTTGCTAGATGAACTCCTAGATGATCTTGGTGAAACGAGTAGGAAAATTTTTGTTTTCTGCAACGTTCCCCAACAGTGGCATCATGAGCTAGGTCTATGCGTAGTTCTCCTTGCGCGAGTAGAACACAATTTGTTGTGGGCGTAGATTTGTCAACTCTCTTTCCGTTACTAGTCCTTTCTTGCTTCAGTGGTATTGTGGGATGAAGCGGCCCGGACCAACCTTACACGTACGCTTACGTGAGACCGGTTCCACCGACTAACATGCACTAGTTGCATAAGGTGGCTGGCGGGTGTCTGTCTCTCCTACTTTAGTTGGAGCGGAATCGATGAACAGGGTCCTTATGAAGGGTAAATAGAAGTTGACAAATCACGTTGTGGCTTTAACGTAGGTAAGAAAACGTTCTTGCTAGAACCCTAATTCAGCCACGTAAAACTTGCAACAACAATTAGAGGACGTCTAACTTGTTTTTGCAGCAAGTGGTTTGTGATATGATATGGCCAAAGTTGTGATGAATGATGAATGATCTATATGTGATGTATGAGATGTTCATGCTATTGTAATAGGAATCACGACTTGCATGTCGATGAGTATGACAACCGGCAGGAGCCATAGGAGTTGTCTTTATTCTTTTATATGACCTGCGTGTCATCAAGAAACACCATGTAAATTACTTTACTTTATTGCTAAACGCGTTAGCCATAGTAGTAGAAGTAATAGTTGGCGAGCAACTTCATGGAGTACGCACATGTATACACAAGTGCAGTACTGAATTCTAGAAGATGCAGTGCAGGACTATATACTAATGCAGTCCATTATCGCACAGGATGCATGTATAAAACGTAACAAAATGCCCGTTCGCATAGAAAAAATGGTGGTTAAAAAAATGTGCTGATCAAAAAGAAAACAAACCCACCTTAAAAAAACCCCACGTTTGCATACAACCACCCGATCGGAGCAGTTCCATCGCACAAGCCCACGATCACAGATGCAAAAACCAACCCACGATCCGCACAACCGCATCATCAGCGCGATCGTGCAGTTCATTCGACGAGGCCATCCCACCCCGCGCCCTCCCCTTAAATTCAGACCCCTGCCAAAGGCCTTCTCATCCACAAACAACACAAGTATCCATTGCGCTCCCACCAAAAGCACCAAGCCCTGCCACCGGCGATGATGTTCACCGACGAGTACAAGGGAGACAACGCCGTGGAGGCGCACGACAACACCAAGTTGCACGTCATCCACACCAATGACAGGAAGCAGATGGCGATCACCCTCGTGCAGTACGAGCGCCACCTCAGCCTCCAGCGCCACAAGATCGTCGACATTGATCTCGAGTACGACAATGACCCTGAAGCGACGCAGAAACCCGCCCTCTGCCAGCTCTCCATCGGCAAGAATCACCCGATGCTGCTCTTCCAAATGAGCGACACTAAAAGGTGCACCGTCTTCGATAATTTCCTCGCCGACCCCAGGTACACCTTTGCAGGCTTCTCCATCGACGGCGACAAAACCAGCCTGGAGCGCGTCAAACTGGAGGTCGCCAACTTCGTCGACATCCAGAAGGAGTGGAGGGTGCCCGAGGCAACCAAGCCGTTGGACTCCCTCGGAGACGTCTCCGGCGTGCTCATCAACGACTACTACAACAACATGAAGAAGAAGATCACCGACGACGAGCACCAACGCTGGGCCACCCTGCCTCTGTCCAGGAGGCACATCAAGTACGCGGCAAAGGACGCCTACGCAGCTTACAAGATATGGAACCGCATCACCCTCACCTAGGACGGCCTTCGCCGTGCAAAGCTGGAGAAGGAGGAGCCCCCCAAGAAGCGTCCACGAGCAGCTGGGGATGGGGAGAGCCTGACTGGTGAAGAAGAAGATGGTGTCGGCCAGGAGCCAACAATGCCATCGTTCTTTTAGAATTATCATCAAATTTGCTTTGTGTTGTTTGCTTATGTATCGTTAGTTTGCTTGTGAACCTAGTTTGCTTGCCATGCACAATCGCCTGTAATGATGAACTCATATTATGTTAGTTTGCTTTCTGTTCAACTTAGCTTGCTGGTGATGAAATTGTCGTACAGAATGCAAACAGGACGCATGTAGTGCAAGTTGCGCACGAATGCAGTACAAAATTTGTCGAATGAAGTCTTAACATACCAAACAAAGCAGTGCACGAACATAAATTTGAAAAAAGGAATACATAAGAGCAAAAACACAAATAGAAAAATGCAAAACACGTAAAATAATTCAATACAGTCCGGAAGTACACGAAAGTACAGCACAGAACCATAATGAGTGAAGTACATGTATGATTTACTAAGCAGTGCACTCCCATACATTTGGAAAAAAGATTACATAATAGGAAAAAGACGGAAACAAAAAAAATGGCAACTGTACATGCAGTACGCAATGCGTACACATGCAGTACGGAACCCTGATCAATGCAGTGCACACTCCAACATTGAAAAAAAAACACATAGGGCAGAAAAATAAAAAGAAAAAAAATGACCACCCAGGTGCTACCGGCCCCAGCCAGTCTCGTAATAGGTCTGCACCCACAGAAGGCGAGTCGCTCTGAGTCACAGTGCATGGGGCCGGCCACAGATGAGCCCACAGGTCAGAGAAAATTGAGCTGCGAGCGCCGTGTTTAAGCGCCCAAATAAGTAACAAGAGGAGTTCGACACAGAGGCCTCGCCACCGCTTATAAACATGTCGGCCACGCCTTCCGCGGGCGAGGTGGGACTAAACATTAGACCGCACACAGCGGACCGGGAACCAGCCGTGCTCACAGGCCGACTTGGGCCCAATTCCATCTTCACTACCCGAACACAGGGCCAACAAAACCCACTAAGAAAAAACAATACGTTCAAAAATAAAACATTAAAAAGAAATATGACAAACATTTTTTAAATGAATAACAACAAACAAAATAAAATGTGCGTCAGCACTGTAAGAATATTAATAAATAAAACGTAGGAAGCCCGATGTCAACGTACAGATGCAGTCAGCGACGTACAACAATGCAGTTCTCCACGTGGAAGCACAAAGTTTTTTTTTGAATTGCAGTTATCTTCGCTCTGCAATGTAGTATGGCTGAAATAAGAATGCAGCCTTGTTACTTAACCAAAGCACTCCGACAACCCCTAGCCACACTACCCTCCATCCACACAAACGCTGTATTACCACAAAGATCAAGAGAAGAAAAGAAAGAACACCATCAAGAGAAGAAAAAAAGTACATCTGTGTGAATCATATTGCAGTACACTACGTGGACCTGAGCAGTTCGTTTCTGATAGAAAAGAAGTGCACTGGCTTGGACAATTGACCGAAAACACAATCATCACATTTTCTGACAGTTGCGTCAATACATTGATCTAATCACAAAAAAAGAGGCGACGACGTTCCGGATTTCCAACGCACTAACAAGAGCCTCCTCATAGCAGAACCTGTTGGTAGTTGCCACGTAAACTTAAAACAGAGCCCCACCATGCTACCGCCCCGCTCCACCTCTCCCACGTCCTGTCAAGGAGAGCAGAGAATAAAATACAATTGCTTCGTCCCCCCAAAAAACCCAATTGCATCTTCTTCTCCGCTCTTCCTTTCACTAACCTCTCTCTCTATAAAAAACACCAGAGAGCACAGGAGAATCATGGCAGATGCACCTTTGTACAAGCAGCACCGCAAGTACACCAGGGAGCTCCACGACGTCCACCTCCACGGCAATCACAAATTCCACGTCCTTTGCACAAGCAAGGGCAAAGAGGTGGACAAGATGTTGTCCACGTTCAGGAGGAAGCTCGGCGGAATGCCCGTCAAACTAGTCGGTGTTGATGTCGAGTACACACACTACAAGAAGCCACAGCGTGCAGCGGTACTACAGCTATGCGTAGAAAAAGAATGCCTTGTCTACCACATATCTGCAGCTAAAGACAGGTAAGAATAACTGTTGCTTGTCAATATTGATTTTAAATTTTCTTCACTGCAATTGCCATAATATTTAACCTTTGGTTCTCATTCTTGAAAAAGCATGGCATGTGAATTTATTGACAGTTTTGATCTGGCTCCATGTATGTCACTCATGTGTTCAGTTCTTGAATTATATTATCTGGCAATACATGCAGTTTAATTATATTTTCTTCACTGCAACATTACCAATCAAAACATGTATGAAATTAGGTTCAAGAATATAAGCATAAACAAAACATGCATTGTTTATGCAATCTATTATCAGATTTACTAGTTATGCTGAACAAAGTATTAGCAACTTCTCAATGCAACAGATTCAGATATCCATATTGCAATTTAGTTTCAGAAAAACACAAAAAAACATTGCTAGTTCTAAAGAAATAAAATATATTCACTCTATACAAATATATTGCAGGCCAATGGAACTAGACAAATTCCTGATGAATGATGAGTACACCTTCGTCGGATTCACTATTGAAGGAGACAAAAGCAAGCTGAGGTATCTGGTTTGGAGATCAACTCCAACAACTACATTGATATTCAGGTGGAATGGAGAGACCCATACAATAAAAAGAAGTTTGACTCTTTGGCTGATGTTGCTGGCAAGATGATAGACATTCACTACCATGACATGAAGAAAAGAATTAACCGCAAGGAGGACCATACTCTGTGGGGACTTTGCCCGCTGCCAAAAAAGCTTATCAAGTATGCAGCAATAGATGCATTCGCAACATATGAGTCATGGAGAATCATCTACGATGTCATAATGGGACTGGACAGGGCAAAAAGAGACAAAGAAGAAAAGAAGAAGAAGAACAAGGCTGTAATCAAATACATCAACTAGAAAAAATCAGGGTTGTGTTTAGTCTCACTTTACTTTAGGCGTTGTGTTGTTCTTTGTTTCATGTATGCAAGATTTTGATAATGTCCGTTGCTTCATATCGAACATTTCTTTTATAAAAACAATGTCAGTTTGCTTGTGATCAATTGCTTCCGCAGAAATTAGTTTGCATTAGAACAAGTATCTACACAACTTGGAAAAATTTAATGAGTGACACCAATACTATGCCCATACAAAACATAACAGTCCACAAAAAATAGTAATTATATAAAAATAAAAAGGAGTACACATGTCTCAACATGCAGTCCACAAAAAATAGTAATTATATAAAAATAAAAATTAATATTGATATATCAAAAAAAATATAATCTGTATACCTTTCTAAACAAACGTGAATCCAGTTCACAGAACGAACATAAGGCAGTTCAACAAGTGTATGCGTGAAGTGCAGTACATGCATAAATGAAGAACGACAAGTGCCCCAACACACACACTTGCTACACCAAGTGCAGTACTCAACGTTGGTGCAAGCAGTACAAATGACAAGGGCCCCAACACATAAATGAAGAACGACAAGGGCCCCATCAAAGGGAACGCGCGCAACCCCCCCTCCCCCCGGACCCCACACACCCTAAGATAGACAGGGGCGACGGGGTATGACGGACTCGCCTACGCATGC